GCTTAATTGTTAAATACTGTAAATGAGGATTCTTATCCAAACCCTCATTTGCATTTCAGCTCTAGCAGAAAAGAGGAAACTTGTAGCAGTTATGATCTTTCTCTCTAAGCGTTTCTCAGCGTTATTGAGACAAATAAAGACATGATAAGCTAATTATCAAAAACTAGTGCTTCACTTCACCTTCGGAGAGGTTCGCTTTGATCTATTTACTATAAAACTAGATAAGAATTCGCATTACCTTAGCAAAAAAACAATCTCATTCAAATTTACAATACCATTACATACGTTCACCTGTAAAAAGTTGAAAGTTTGATCTTAACCCTCAACGTCTTCTCGCATGGGGAATGGCGCAGAGAACATTTGTCCCAAACCTGGCGACCGTTCATAGCAAAATGCAATGAACAACCAACTTACCACGTTTTCAAAACAAAATTGCCCATTTTGACTCAAACTCCTTTAAGTAACATGATAACAAATGATAACTGCTCTTTGACTTTTTTAGGGCAAATGAACTAATTTTGTGACAGACAGAGATACACACACAGACACGATACAGAAAAAACTTCGCGCTACGTTTCAAATAACGATTTTCCTGCGTGACCACCCTGGTGTGAAAATAAATGTATTTTCCAAGTGGTTTTTTATAAATGTTCTTTCTCAGATCTGTAACACAATTTATGCAGACATCAGAAGTAACTAACGATGGACAACATCAAGCCACTGGTAAAACCGTAACTAGTTATAGTCGGAAAACAAAACCTTATTCATTTAAAGAGAAAGTATAGTGCGGAGAAATGCTAAAACTTTTGTTCACTAAATCTTTTGTAAATATTCAGTAATAAAAGTATTTTGTGGAAATTTAGTCATTAATCTCCATATTTTTCAACGATTTCGTTCCGTTTGGATTGAGATGATTATGAAATGTTGACAGATTGTTATGTCCACCCATTGACAGAAGATAATTTGCTAATGGGGAAATGAAGATGTGGCGAAAACGGAAGAATGTTGCGAAAAATAATTATTTGCTGCCAGAATTGTTCTCTTGAGCGAAGAGATAAAAAATAAGCGCTTGTAGGATTCTCGACGAGAATGGGCTTATGTTTATCTTCGGTGGAAAGCCTTCACCCATTACAGATTTCTATCAAAAAAAAAAAGGCTCAGTTGCTTTCCAGTGTCATTCTTGAAGCAGTTCGGGACAGACACATGCTTTAAAACATAACCAAAAAACAAAAAAAAAAGGCTTCGAAATCGAAAACGGCAAACAGTCGATAGAATGAGCGATCAATCATTATCAGCAATTTTCTGCTTGAAGGGTCTTACTTTATAGCGTAAATAATTCGCACGAATTGATTACCTGTAAAGCATTTGTTGGCACTTTCGTTATCAAAACAGCAATAAAATAATTTTTTGAGATGATCAACTATTTAATATTTTTGCCTTTGATCAAGCAAACTTGCCCTGAAAGATTCTGTTTTCGTTTCTCGTTGATCAAATTATCTTGAAACAGAGAACAGGCTTAAAGTACTCTTTAAATGGCAACTGAACAGTCAAATCTTTTTCTCCTAATGTTTCGACTCGGATCAACAATCTTTCTTAGCCAGAACTCCATTCGCTGAGCAATTATGGAATTTTGCATATGCGAGAAGATCTGAGGAAACTAGAGGTACACCAATACGATTAATAATCTGTTCCTTCTTCAAAAGCAACATATTGAGCTATGATGTTACACATATATAAAGTTGATTTTAGTGTGATTATTTGCGGCGTATGTTTTTTTGGCAGTGAGTGAAAGGAATATGGAGACCGTTTTCTGAGCTTAATTCGAGTTTTATATCACGCCTTTGCATTACAGTGCTGCAGAGTTATTAGGAGGCTTGTGATGCACCTTCTGATTCAATGACCACTACGGGAAGCTACGCGCAATTTGAAGGGTTTCTGAATATGAAACTGTGTAAACCTAAGCAGACTTTCAAGAGGACATTTGTGACAATTTACATAGTACACAGACTATATTAATGTGTTAGTTTTGGTAATGAGCTTAAGAAGAGACTAATACTTTGTTTGAAAAGACTATTTAGTACAATTGTTTTAACTTATATAACCCTTCAGTTGGCTAATACGATGACTTCACGACCATCCACATACCATGTTATATGGGCAGGTCTCCCAAGCTCTTGAGGACGTCGGCTCATGACTTGTAGTGGTTTTAACTCGAAGGAATTTTCCCTTCTAGATCATGGGAACTTAGGAAAATTGTACTGAATAGAATTCATCTGCTACAGAGTCAATGTGGAATATTCTTTCCAGCTATGGCATTCCTTTGCCAAGAATTTACGCGCAGCATCGTTATCATCGGGCGCACAAACAAAAACTTCCATTGAAATCTATTTCAGAGAGATTTGGGATAATATACGATGATTACATAGTAAGTACTACACCTCATAATTTTTAAAGTTGTAATTGAACCCTGTAATTTATTTTTGAGTACTGAATAAGTTGCTCATAATCGTGATCTTAAAAGAATCGACATTTGACTATTTAGTTAGTGAGTGGTTTTTATGCTTAAGGTGATCCTCACTAAAACAAGGGTGATAGCTCTTACCTGATTTGCCAAGATTTACCAGAGGTTATCAAGCTAATTCAAACTTTTCTCAGCGACCGACTACAAGCTAAAAGCAGTATATTACAGGACCAGTTCTTCAAGACTGCACAAAACGGGGTTCTAACGTTTTCCAATATTGCATAAATAATGTTAACGACATCATACAATCTTGAGTAAGTTATCATTAGTGAAATCTCCAGTTGCCAGTTTATCAATGAGACGCAGAATTTGCGCAAAAGGAGCAATATCAGCAAATTGTCAATTTATGCGGCTCTACTTCTTCCTCTAGCTGGTTCTTTTCAAAAGGTAGAAGAAACATGTCTTCATAACAACATTGCACTCAAACAAGAGAATTTCATTATGGGACGTAGTGTTCCCTGACAGCGCCTATAATAAGATTAAATGCAGCTAAAGTGGTTTACCCTCCGTGATGGTCTACTGCCTCATCGTGGAGCGGGGTAACTCTAGTATCGAACTGCGAAGTACAGAGGTTTCTCCTCAGCAGAGTCTCCCAAGCTAAGAAGGAGTTCGACGTTTTCGGCTCCTCGGATGCCCAGCTAAGAGTAGGCCATGCCAGAAGCCCGCCGTCTGGCTGATTAAGTCCCTAAGTGGTTCCCTGATCCACATAGGTCAGCGATTGCCTGTTGTAAAAGCTTGGTAGAGCCCTGGCAAGGCTTTGCTAATGTTTGGGGAGAAGACCTTTACTGCCTGTACAGCATGTAAGAGCAAGAGCAGCCCTGCACACTGGATCACATCTACGGCGTCGGATGTCATCAAGACCAATGTCAGGTTGCACGGGACGTCACGGATTTCGGACCAAAAGGACAAGTCAACGACTCGCCATGGAGATTGTTTCATGCTTTGCACCTACAATGCCAGAACGGTCTCCACCAACGCCGATCTTCAAGGTCCCACCTCGCCTGGCTATCCTCCGACTCCGTCCTCTTCATCAGAAAGCCATCACTATCATCAACTGCTATTCTCTAACATCGGCAGCTGATGATTCGAAACTTGATGCTTTTTATGAGGATTTGGAGGAAGTCATCCGCAAAGAAAACTCCATCTATAAGTTTGTCGTGGGTGGCTTTAATGCGAAAATCGGGATACCAGAGAAGGGGAGCACAGGATCGGGAGATTTGGATCAGGACTCGAATGGGAATGGTAACCGTCTTGTTGGGATCTTATCCGTTGCACCACTTTTTCATGACAACTCCATTTTCATAAAGAAAAAACACCGGCGGTGGAGGTGGAAGTCACCCAACGGGACGACTCACGTGGAGATCGTGAAGATCGACCACATTCTCATCAACCGAAGGTGGTGCTTAGTGGATGTTTCAATGGTACCATCCTTCAGTAGTGGCTCAGATAACTGCCTCCTTCGAGCAGAAGTGCGACAGCTAAAAGCGAAGATCCGTCAACGCGTTGGAGGGAGAGAAATCGTATATGACGGCGTCAGATTGGAGGAGTTACTAACCAATTGTGACTGGCCCATCGAGGAGGACCCGACGACCGACTACGATCTGCTTCTTAGAGGACTGAGAGCCTGCGGTGAAAGCACTTTAATGCCTCGCGCAAGGAACTTGGAACGAATTTCGAAAGCCACCAAGGATCTCCTAGAGAGGGTACGAACACTGAGGCTGGATCCGACTGCAACACATTCCGAGCGACTGGTAGCCAATACCAGTTGCAGAACAGCTTTGCAAGAAGATCTCCGAAAACAGGCAATCAAAACTCTTGGAAGCAGCACAAGGAAGGAGAAGTCTAAAGAAGTACCGCAAGGAC